AATTTTAAAGTTTACATTTCGTAAACGAACAACAACAAAAAAGGGGAGGAGTGGGGAAAAGATATCGAAATTAATAACAATAGAATGAATTTTTTTTACACGAGCATCCGAAACTAATTATTTATTTAAAATAATAATAATAACGATGATTATGATTATGATTATGATGATGATGATGATGATGATGATGATGATGATGATGATGATGATGATTCCCGTTATGTTATGTTAACATCTCACAAACCGATTGTGTTTCGTTCGTGGAAAAACTTAAAAAACAATTTTTTTTTTTTTCTTTTTTCTTTTTAAAATGCATATTTCGAGTCGATTAGTTACACTTCTTTAACACTCCCTTCTTTTCGAAACATCTCCTTTGACATAACAAAAAAAAAAATGAAAAAATGAAAAGAGAAAAGTAGCTTTGTCAAATCTACAACATTTCATAAGCTATCCATTAAATTTATGTGCTGAGAAACGAATTCTTTCATTATTCTTTTCTTTTTTGACTTTCCATAGAAAATTTGTCGTTTTTTATTACTTCATCTTTTTTTTTTTCTTTCTCCTCCCCCCCCCTCCACCTCCTCCTCCTTTCCTTCTTTCCTTCCTTCCTTTTATCTTGACTTCGTGTCATATTAATATTTAAAAAAAAAAAAAAAAACCTGTGGGTTTTAGTTTTTATTACGTACGCACGCACTCACGCACACACACACACACACGCGCGTGCATTCACGGATTGTGGCGATGGTAGCGTTTCTTTGACGACTTATTTTTTTATTAAGTCACATAAATTATTTTTTTAAAAAAAAAAAAATAAAAACCTCACAAAACGAATTCGTTTTTATCCGATAACGTTATCAGAACGTCATTTATTCAATTAATTTTATCAAAGAAAAAGGTTTCACCTCTAACGCAGTAATTTTTTTTAAAAGAAAAGGTTCAAACGAAATCCTCCGTCCATTTAAATTAATTAAATAAAATTTAATAATTTTTTTTGTTGTGAGTAGTACCCGGAAAATTTTTTTTTTTTGTCTTGTTGGCGAAGAAAGAAAGATAAATAAAGAAAGGATGATGTAGTTCATGACTTTCTTATGTGGTTAGTTTATCGCATTCCGATGTTAACAAAATGAAAAACCTCACAGCTAACTATTTCATGTAATAAAGATGATCTTATAGGCTTAAAAACAAAGAGAGAGAGAGAGAGAAAAAGACAAAAAAAAAAAACGTACGTATGTATGTACAAAAGTTAAAAAGAAACAGGTATATTTTGGGTTATATAAAAAGTTGTATATCAAATCGCGACAATTAACCTCTCAGGTCACGTATAACTTTTTTTTTTTTTTTTTTTAGTACAATAAAAGGATTACATCAGTTTAAAAGTTGTAGGAAAAAGTCCGAGAAAGAAAAATTTTTTTTTTATTTATTTAATCTGATGATCGTTTTCTTGTGAGCGTTTTCTCAATGTTAAATGTGTGGGAAAATCGAATCTCTACTAGTTCATCTCTAAGAGAGAGAAAAAAAAAAAAAAAAAAAAAACTTAAAAGTCTTGCTTGACCTCCTCAAGTTTTGTTCTAACAAATTATTATCATTTCCTCTCCTTCATTGATAACCGTCATTTATGTGATGGCGTTTGTTTATTTATTATTATTATTAAAGTTTTTAAAAAAATTTTTTATTCATTCACGGAAAAAAAATTTTTTTTTTAAATCCTTTGGTTAACGAAATTTTTGTTTGTTTTATATTTTGTTAACAAACTTGAAATTCTTGTTCAACGTAAGGTTTCACTTTTTTTTTTATTTACAGGATATAGAGAAACTGCTTTTGCTTATGCCATATCATCGGCAGGAGTTGCACATAGTGTTGCTCGTGCATGCAGTTCTGGAAAATTAATAGCTTGCGGTTGCGATCCAGGAAGTTACAGGCAAAAAAGTTTTCATAATAATAATAATAATAATAAATTATTATCGAGAGAAAATCAAAAGCGTAACGTCAAATCAAAACGATACAAATCGATATTAAGGTAACGGAAAGAAAATTATTACGTAATACCAACGGAAAAACAAAAAGAAAATTTTTATGTTTTTTATGTTTTTTTTTTTTTTTTTAAATTTTTTAGGGGAAACAATGTCGGAATAAATGATGATAATTATTTAGAAAATGATTTGATGAATAAAAATCCGGATAAATGGAAATGGAGCGGTTGTTCACATAATTTAGACTTTGGCGTTGAATTTTCACAATCGTTTTTAGATCTGAGAGAAAAAAAAGCTGGAGATATACAATCTAGAATAAATTTACACAACAATGAAGCTGGAAGATTGGTGAGTTTTTTTTTTTTTTTTTTTTTTTTATAAAAAACGGGTAAAATCGATAATAAAAAAAAAAAGTAAAACCGTAGCAATGGTTGTTAAAGTTAGGCGAGACGTGATAGTTTACATCCGTGAATGTTTTTTTTTTTATTTAATTTTTTTTTTTTTTGGTGTGGAATAAAAATAAATATGGCGTGCGTGCGAGTCGACAAAAGATTTTTATCTTTATATAATTTATATAAATTATAACGACGAAAGTTTTTAAATTTAAATATTCACAGCAAGCGAGAAGAAAAAAAAAAAAATGTTTTGCTATTATTTTTTTAATCGTCAAGTCTTTTCTCTCTCTTAAATTTAATTTATTACCCTTCGAAAAATTTTCTAATAAAATCCGGAAAAATATCGGAAAAACGACTTTATCAACAAAAAATTATTATTATTAACGTTTTACGTCACGCATTCTGTTGACACCTTATTTAAAAAAAAAAAAAAAAAAAAAAAAAAAAAAAAACTCACGCTTTAAGGCTTTTGTTTAAATTTTTTAGGTGCGTTTGTACTCTTTTTTTAGTTTTTTAAAGGCTTGAACGACGGAATTAATAAATTTATTTATTATGCATCCTGCGTAAGATAAGTATAGTGACGGTTAATTTTAAATAAATCAATTTTTTTTTTTGTAAAACCCGTTTCTAACGGTTTTCTTGTCTTACTTCGTACCCCCTTCGATACTTACGCGCGATAGTAAAAACATTATAATAATTATCCCTCTTCCCCCGCCTCGCCCCATTAAATAAAAAAAAAAAAAAAAACACGTACATCATTTTTTTGTTTCCCCCCTCCCTCTCCCCCCTCCTCATTCTTTTCTCGATTTTAGCATGAATAAACTCGTAAGAATGTGAAAGAGAAAAAAAAAATGGTTAAATTTATGATGAATTTCCCTTTTTATTTGATGGATGTTATTTCGATGGTAGGAATTTCAAAAGTACTTTAATAATAATAATAATAACATTGCCTCCCACGTGCAGCAGGTGAGTTACAAAAAAGAAATTTTCAACCAATAAAAAAATGTTAAAATTTTTTTCCTTTTTTTTCATTGGACGACCCGATCCCCCCGGTAAACCAATAAATACACCCGACATTAAGTTTTTATGTTTTTTAAATCATAATCCCAAGCAAAATATTTTTTAAAACCAATTTTTTTTTTTTTTTTTTTTTTTTTTTCATTTTAACCTTTTTTTTTTTTAAATCGAAAACGATTGATGATAATAATAATAATAATTTTAAAAACATTATCATTAGATTTTGGGGAGCAGGGGGGGGGGGCAGAGGGGGATTCTCTCATTTTCAAATCAATCTCGTAACGTATAAATTTTAAATTCAAAAAAAAAAAAAAAAAAAACGGCGGAAGATACGGTTTAATTAATAATTTAAATAATGAATTAAAATATTACGTCACAATTTTTACCCTGTTGATAATAATAATAATAATAATATATATATTTTTTTAAAACGAAATCGTTATTATATACGTACGTGTCGGTAAAAAAAAAAAAAAATCTATAATATTGGAATGAGAAAAATACCTGATGATGGTTTTTTTTTTCTTCGGGGTGGTAAAATGGGGCGTCACGGTCTCACCTGGGTGCACCACGACAATATTATACCGATTTTAAATAATAGTCATCACCGCCGATCACTCTAATACAAAATAATAAATAAGTTTATTATTATTATTATTATTATTATTACCATTTTTTTTTCACGAGATAGACAAAAAAAAAGGAAAAGGAAAAGGACCTTTATCAACCGCTTTCATTCGAAAACCAACAATTTTAAAAAAAAAAATTGACGTGACCTATTGGAAAAAAAAATTTTTTCCTTTTCGAAAATTCCTTTGTGTGTGTGTGTGTGCGTGCGCGTCGCGTAAAATTATTACTTTTACCAAAAAAAATATGTTATTTATCGACGGATAAATATTATCGCAAAGAACGAACCGTAATTAAAAAAAAAAAAAAAAAATGGTGATGGCACTCGAGGGATATATTAAAATAAATCTGTTAAAAAATATATACGAAAAAAAAAAAAAAAAATTTACCTTTTAGCAAAAATATATCAATGATAATAATAATAATAAATGAATTTTTTTGGTTTTCGATTAAATTTTCCACATTTTTTTTCATTATGAACGAAACGATTCGAATCCCAACAAACACAAAACACGTCATCGAATATTTAAAAATGTCTGTACAGGGGGAAATGCGTATACGCACACAAATAAATTCTTTTTCTTCTTTTATATTATTTATATATATATATATATATAAACGAATAAAATTTTATATTTTTTGATTTGTTGTTGCCTAAGGCGGAGAGAGAGAGAGAGAGAGAGAGAGAGACCACCCGCATTTAGCCTCATTACTCTCTACGTTGAACGTTTATTTTGAGGGCTTGTGCAAGAAGAACTTTTGACCCATCACGATTGGTCTTAAACCACAAATATAGTCACCGATTAAGACTTAATGAAGACATTTTTTCCAAATCGTTTCTTTTTAGGGGGTTTAATAATCGAAAGGTTGTAGTATATTTCCCCCTTATCACGGTTTTCATTTAATCGTGTTAAAAACGGTTTCCATTTTGATTTTTCGGTTAAATCGATCTCGAATTAGTATCAATAGATTTTTTTTCCCCAGAGGGATTCATTATTATTATTATTATTATTTACGTTTATTCGGTTGGCAGTTTTTTTCTCGTTAATAATAAAATGTAATCAAAAACTATTGATTTGAAAAAAATAATTTTTTTTTTTTTACCTAAACGCGACGCCATTTTACTCTCCATTAAATTTAATTAAAAAAAATTTTTTTTTTTTTTTGCCCTTTTGCACCGTGACCGTGAATTTTATGAAAAATTTTTTTTTTTTTTTTT